AGTGACATGTTACGTTGATGAACCTCATGCTGATAATCTTTTCTTCTACTCTCATTGGCGCTGGCGCTCTCTCTCGCTGGCCCGGCTTCTCGGGACAGGGTTGGCGGTCTATTTATCTCTGTGCTTGGTTAGTCACCGCATCTTATGCAAACCAATTTGAATCGAGTCTTGAAGGTATTGTGTTCAGTATCAAATGAAAAATGTATTGTGTCTGCGTGTTTTTTTTATCATTTTACATAATTCTAGCGCAATGTCTACAAAGCGCCTGTGTTTTTTCGCTGGTCGCTATGTAGTCGACTCTCTTCCGATTCGAAGGCGAAATGTAAATGTAGGTTTCGACTAGGAACGTTTGGTGCATCTCGTTGTCATCTCTTATGCATTCAGACTCTACAAGTGCACCAGGATCTGCTGTCTCGATGTATACTTACATGCTTCTGATTATGACAGAATTACTCGAAAGCTTGCATTCCTAAAACAAAACTGTGCCAGTGAGACGAAAAGTCAAATCACTCGGAGAAACCAAGGCCTACTAAATGGCAGGAACGAGGCGGCGATTGAGCCCAATGACTGGTTATCCATGAAACCCCCTGACACCGCCACGGTTCGTTTGTACGGTCAACTGAAGTTGCACTATGCCACTGTTCCACTCAGGCCAACCGTATCCCTACGTGGCACTCCGACGTACGGTTTGACAAAATGGGTGTTTCGGCGTCTTAACTTTTTGGCTGAATGCACGCCACCAACAGTATCATCCGCGAACTAATTCCTCGAGCGCATAAAACATCTGAAGTTAGAGCCAGACGAGTCAAAAGTACCCATTGATGTCGTTCCAGAGCAACTATTGATAGGCGTTCCTAGTCAACTAATGGCAGATCGCTCTAAGGAGAAGGGCAAGCCCCTGAAGTCCAAAAATCTCCTCGATCTTACGCGACACTGCCGCAAGACCTGTTTCGACTATGGCGGACGAATGTAGGAGCAAAAAAAGACACTCTTATGGGATCCCCTCCTTTAGGCCTAATCGCTGAAGTAGTCCATCAACGGATAGCAATCCTAGTTTTCACCATGTATCAACCAGATTTCGGGGCTTGCTAAGTCAATAACAACTTTTTCGTTGTCAAAGCAACGGACATTGATCATCTGAAGGAAATACTGAACTCGGTTGACCAAGATATCCAATTTACGATAAAGGCAGAAACAAACAACCAACTGCAATTATTTGGCGTGCTTGTGTGTCTGTTTACATCTGGATAATTGCAAACCACAGTATTCAAAAAATCCAGCGATACCAGACATATCCTGCACTTCAACGGCAATCATCCTTCGTCTCACAAGCCTAGCTCTGTGCGCACTCTATTCTGAAGAGTCGAAACACACTACAGCACCCCAGAAGTTAAAAGAGACGAATGACTGTAACTTCAAAACCTGTTTTCAGACAATGGTTAACCCACAAATTTCATCGAGTAATGCAGGAGTCAGGCGCAAGGTCGACGGGCGAATGAGCAGCAACTCGAAGTCAGAAGGACCATTACGTACGTTTAAGGGGTATCTGAGGAGGTCTCTGGACTGTTACAATCCGCTGGAATACGCATAGCCCATCAACTCTAGGCTACAATTCGACACTGTCTGGGTAGGGGGTGAGTACAACTACTTGAGAGGAACCGGGGAAAATTGCGGACTCGCCTACAAGAGCACACATCGGCCACACGGATTTTTAACCCAAACTCTCAACTGGCGAAACACGTTGGAGAAATTGGGCAAAATTTCGATCTACAGAAAGCTACCATCTTAGGTCCAGACAACACAAAGGCGAAACGCTCGAAGCGTAGTTCTTCGATGCCCACCCAATCAACTGGCATCTGGACTTTAAAGCAGACTCCAAGGTCCTACGAAGTCACAATCGTAGGGCTCAGAAGAACATAAATGCACCGCACTTAAGAAGTCCAAACAGAGATAGCCGGGCAGCGAGTCCACTTTGTAAGGAAGAAGAACCGTCAAAGCGATTAAACGAATACATTTCGAGTACCGTCACTCTACGACGCGGTGACTAACCAAGCACAGAGATAAATAGACCGCCAACCCTGTCCCGAGAGGCCGGGCCAGCGAGAGAAGAGGACATTTTCTCAGCATAAGGTTCATCAACGTAACATGTCACTTGATATTTCTGGTCGATCAAATGGATTTTACGCTTTGATAAAAAAGATGTGACCAAGCACTTCGAAACCTTAGAATCTAAATGAAGCCGATTCGGTAAGTTCAGCTTTCATGTAACCATAAGCAAGGACCACTTAAATTTGCCAATCCGATCAGCAAATCTTCGCGATTGGGTGTCAAAGAAATGGCCACCAGCGAAAGATCATTCTAATTGTTAAACATGTTAAACGTTACCTTTTCCAGTCTATCTTCTTTTCATATTTAAGTTAGGAATAAATAAACTAGGGCGTTAACGGTTTTGGAAAAAGAAAATCAGCATTTTTCTGGACACTCTGCCATATTTTCACAAACAATGGACTGAGTCTAAAGGTAAGTAAATCCAGTGCACAAAACCATTATGAAAAACAAAGGACAAGTTCTTACATTTACGATGAAAACACTTAAGTATTTTTTGCGAACGTGTAATAAACAGCTTAAAGTGCCAAATCGTTTCGAAGGAATTGCCGAATACACCTGGCGAGCAAACTACCGATTGCCATACCCAGCCGGCTGGTGAGTAGCAGGAATAGCGTTAGCTATTAAAAGATAGCAGAAGT